TCCCCACCCACCCCATCCCACCATTGGCGGGGGGGAGGAAGGAGAACCACCCAAGGTTCCCCTCTGCACATTTCCAGGAAGGCAGACACACAAAAAAGGGAGGGAGGGAGGAACTGTGTGGCGTGTATCATATGACACTCGATGTCATTTCATTATGCAAAAAGCAACCTCCCCTCGCTCAGCTCTGCTGGAGAACTGCCACCGCCCTAAGCCCTGAAATATAGATTTTTTTCCCCCACAAGGAACAAAAAAAGCCATGCACGCGTTAAATACAACAAGGATCATTCTAAGAATTCAACTGCAAAGCAAATCTATGAAGGCAGATTGGGAGGGGGGGGGTCATTTTGGCGCATAACTACTCCCTCCCAACCCACCAGCAGAGATACACATTCTTAACACAGCTTTATGTTCTGACCCAAAAAATAAGGCTTCGGTGATTCTTCCTTTCTGAACACGATCGTTTTCACCATTTCAGCAAAGAAAAAAAAAAGTGCTTTGGCAGACTCCCCTCCTACGAGTAAGAGTCTGTGCATTGTACATACATACAGATGAATGAGAGAGGAAAGGTGAGAGACAGCTAATCTTCCGGAAAACCAAGCCTCTCCGATCGCCCACAAGCATGTGTCAGCACATCGCTACTAAATGCTCCACTCCATCCCAAATTAAAGACTTGCCTGGTCCAGAGCTGATTCCCAAGGCTAAAGGGAGGCTGGTTTATCTCCAAGCCCCTTTGCAATCATTCCATAGAATGATTTGGAACGGACTGCAGACCGTGCTTTTTTCTTACAAAATCCGCTTTGAAAGCAAGGGGTACCCTCCACCCGCCTCAGACCCAGTCGGAGCAGAGGGTGGCTGAAAGTAAGGCTGCTTTCTTCTAAAAATAAAGACTATATTTCCCCCCGCTTTGGGGAAATGGTGTCCTGTGTCTTTAAACCGCTCTAATTCCGATTTTACATGCTGTCCCCCCCTTACCACGTGTTTTCTGTTGTTGCTGGGCTTGCCATTCCAGAAATCTGGCCGCTTCCAAAAGCGTCTCAATGCTCATCTCTTGGGTTGCCTTTCAGTGGAGGATCCAAAATCTTGGAGACTTAAAAAAACCGGGAGGTCTCCTTCTTCTTTTCTTCTCCCAAGTCAAAATGCTTGATCAAACCACCCCCCCACCCCCGATCCCCTGCGAATCTTCCAGACAAGAAAAGGGTTTGCAACAAGATGGCGATGAGTATGTAACAGAAACACAACAAGAAAAAAGGCCTAACACTGCCCTCGGCTACTATACAGACAGCTGCAGACAAAACCCAGCCTGGATCGGTGTAGGTCACTGGATTGGAACTCGTCAATGCCATTTTGCAGGGGTGGAGTTTAACCACTGCAGGTTTGAGTGAAAACTCTTGCTACAAAAGGGAGCAGATCGGCCAAGGCTCTTATTTGGGATCAATTAAATGTGTTTTTTTTTTAATTCTCCTTTTCTTGATGGATTTGAGTGAGTCACTCAAACGGTCAGATAAGACTATCTTCATGGAACTTTGTTCTAACTTAGTTGTGAACTATCTATCACTAATCAAATAGAATGGGGGGGGTAAAATATTTAAATAAATACAAATAAATAAATCAAACACATCTATCTACACTTTAATCCAAAAAGATTCTGTCTCACAAATTAGACTGGCTTTGGTCTGCATGTTACCGACTGGGTCTGAGCAGGTGGAGGGTACCCCTTGCTTTCAATATAATTATTAATTATAATAATTATAGATGGGGGAGGGGAAATTAGGTCATTTTGCTCTCTGTTCTCTTTCCATGCAGTATTGTTGCCCACAGAATATTTCCGGTCATCAACCTCAGGTGTTGCAGTTATTATTTATTGGGACCTGATTGTTCAGTGGGGTTAAGTACCTCCAGCTCTGGTGTTAAGAACTTCATCTGGATTTATGGGTGCTTCACACTGCTGAAAACCAGGACCTAAATAAGATACAGCCCTGGTGTCCAACCAGTTATATAGCAATCTAGCCCCACTCAACTGGCCAAACAGACACATTGTTCAAGCCAACTAGCTACACTTTACCAGCCAAGTAGTCACACGGGGCTAGTGTGTTGGACACCCTGGCTTACACAAATCAGTCACCTGACATTTTATTAACACAAACTGACAGAGATCTTAGAATTTCCACATCAGCTGATTTTTCTCTTCTTTCATGAATTATTTGAAAATACCTCTAACTGTAATAGAAGTCAGTATGAATGACAGGTCTTTCATAAAAACAAAAGAGTGGTGTTTCATAAAAACATGAGTGGTGTGGAGAGGGCCTATAAAGAAAAGTTATTTATTAGTTCCCTAAATAGAAGAATTAGAGGACACCAAATGAAATTAATGGGTAGCAGGTTTAAAACTAATAAAAGAAAGTTCTTCTTCACACAGCGTGTAGTCAACCTGTGGAACTCCTTGCCAGAGGAGGCTGTGAAGGCTAGGACTATAATAGAGTTTAAAGAGAAGCTAGATAATTTCATGGAGGCTAGGTCCATAAAAGGCTATTAGCCAGGGGATAAAATGGTGTCCTTGGCCTCTGTTTGTCAGAGGCTGGAGAGAAATGGCAGGAGACAAATCACTTGATCATTGTCTTCGGTCCACCCTCTCTGGGGTACCTGGTGCTGGCCACCGTTGGTAGACAGGATACTGGGCTTGAAGGACCTTTGGTCTGACCCAGTACGACCGTTCTTATGTTCTTATATAACCATGACAATGATGCAGTTACTGGTTCTGCAAGACCGCCCTTTGCTCAATATTCAGCACTAGGTTCCTAGAAAGAGGAAGGGTATTGTCCCATCACATCAGTATGAACTTTGCAAATGGGAATGTACAGGGTAGATGAAACAGAAGAGAACATGTGATCATAATTATTCATATATGCCTGTAGCTATCATTGAAAACAAATAAGGTTCCATGTGTAATTCAGGACAAGATAAATTATGTAAATGGAAAAGGCCAAATAGATCACTGAATTCACTTCCTGCCCTTGCAGCACAGGAAGGTAAGTATACACAACAGGGTACAAATACCCATTAAGGCTACATCAGATGTTTCTGCAGGGCAAAAAAGAAACCCACATTTATTTTTACAGACAGGCTTGTTTTCAGTTGCTGAGTGCCAGTTTCTTTTACTTGGTTCGTTCCTGGGAAGGAGGGGTGCCTCTTGCTTTGCGATTACTTTGACAGAGAACGAGACAACTCCATGAGTCGCATGCACTATTATTTTGTACTAAATGATACCCCAGGTCTGGTTGCAAGAGGATGAGAGGTGAGTCCTGGCGCCGGGTTTTCCACCTGCTCCTCCCCCCGCAGTGCGTTTGCATCCGATTACAATATGTCATCCTGCCCCGAGCCAATCCGCTTGGAAAACAACAAGGCATGGAGCAGCTCCACATGGGCACCCTGCTCCGTCTGCCTCCGACGGCGTCTCCTTTAAAGGGCCAGCCACCCTCGGAGTTTCCCCAGCAGCCATGAACAGCGCACTAGAAGAGGAGGAGGGCACGTTACCCCCGGTGAACCCTGATGGCTGCGCCTCCATCAGTGTGCCACCGGGAGAGGGTTTTTCCTTCCCACGCTCCTGGGACAGAGATTCGCACCCGCAGGGGGCCTCGAAGAAAGGGGGAGGGCGCGGCTGAATGAAACAGCCTAAAATGCTCTGAACACGGCGCTCCCGGGAGATGTTTCAGCCAGGGTCAGAAAACTGCAGGGCGCGGGAAGGGGAGGTCCCCGCAGCCAACGGGGCGCGCTGCGTTGGTTACGGAGCCAAAGGAATTACTCCTGGGACAGAGATTCGCACCCGCAGGGGGCCTCGAAGAAAGGGGGAGGGCGCGGCTGAATGAAACAGCCTAAAATGCTCTGAACACGGCGCTCCCGGGAGATGTTTCAGCCAGGGTCAGAAAACTGCAGGGCGCGGGAAGGGGAGGTCCCCGCAGCCAACGGGGCGCGCTGCGTTGGTTACGGAGCCAAAGGAATTACCTAGGTCGGGGCCGGCCCCGCGGGCTGCGAGATGCACCGGGAGCTGCTGCAACATGGAGCCCCGAAGGCTGTAAAATACCCGGCCGAGCCCAGACACCCGGCGCCCTGGGGTGCGCTCCCCCTACCCCGCAGCGGACGCGCTCTCGGTTCCATGCGCCCACGGAATCGGTGCTTTCCCGTGCGCTGCGCAAGGCGTCGTATGGGGGAGAGGGGGTTCAGCGGGCTGTAGTCCGGGGGGTGCTCACACTGAACACCTATGCCGCGAACGGTGCTGGGGGCACAGCGCCAGGTGCGTTAACCTCGGGGACGGCTCCCTTTGACGTTAGGCGATCGGCAATCCCAGGAGAGAGGAAGGCCCCTCCCGCTCCCTTGCAGGTGTTTGATCCCTGGGGGGAGGGTGTATTTGCGAGGATCAAGCAGCCACGCACGCCCCAGCGGGCAGGCTCAGCGTGATGCCTATGGCCCAAAAAGCGCCCAGATCAGCCTCCCCGCTGCACAATCTCCCCAAGCCCTTGGCCCCAGTTTTTGCCCGCACTGGTTTTCTCCCAGCCTCGTGATGGATGTTGCTGGCGGAGGCTGCTGCATTTG